GACTGATAAAACGTTCTAAAACAGAATTAAATGATCATCTCAAAAATTGTAGCTTTTTGAACAGCGAGTTTAATATAAGATACATAAATATCACAGTTTAGCCGGGGTTGAAACGGCAACGATTTCAATGAGAATCTTACACTGATTCTGCTTTCTGCAGAAAACGGAAAACAGAGTTTTGGAGAAGCGTTCTTATGTTCATAGCACATCCGTAACGAAGGAACCTCAGAAAACAAATTTTTCTTTGCTTAAAACCAAAATGGCACGCTTTTGAGTCGCATTCTTACGTTGACATAAATTTTTTGTCAATTCCATTCAAATCACTCCATTTCAAACTTCCTAGTTTCCGCAACTTGGCTGATGCTGTCACTCAATCGAAACTTCGGCAAGCTTAAAATCGAAGGATACTGAAAAAGGCAATAAAAGAACATCGAACATGCCCAAAATAGAGCTTACAAATATCGTAGTAGTACAGTTGACAACGCTGGGCATTAAGCTTACTAAATCAACGGCACGAAGATCGAAACAAATCTACACGGAAGGAATAAAACTAGTGATACATATGGAACAGGTCACCAAAGAAAGTGTATCACCATCAATCGAAATGCAAAACATAAGAATACAGGTTCTGGTGGTCCCGGCAATGAATCATTAAGTACGTGCACTTTTACTTTTGTATAATGAAAATAATGTTCTTCAATCAGTAAACTAGCACATGACGACAGCATTAAGATCGCTCTTCGTTGAGTACGCTCAACTATCGAATCAACAAATTATCTACAACCGATTATTCTAACTTTCAAAGGAATGAACTGCTACAGTCCAATTGCGCATCTCACTTTTGAACAGTGATTCCTAAACGCTACTAGTTCGCAAGCTTAGACAGAATAAGATATCTCACTCATCCAAAATAGTACTTATAACACATCAGGCTGGACACCGAACAGGCTTAGAGTTTACTAGGAAAATAAACCTGAAAGCCTATTTTCACGTCGCCGGCAGTTTCTGAGTTTGTGGCTAAAGTGAATGTCTTACACTATGCTTCACTCTTCGAGGTCCTATCATGAAGTTTTGAGTGACTTCAGTCCTTTCCGTATACCTACGTCTAAGAAATCGATAAGCAGACAAACTCCTAAAGGAAAACTAATCCATTTACGTAGTAGCGTTACTTCGGCTGATTCATTTTTACAGTATACACAGCGTATACTCATAAAATACTTGTTCTAGCTAACACAATCAGGAAGACAGAACAATGAACTCTGGTAACCATACCTTTTTTTTGAAGCCCATGTATGCACCTATGAAAGTCAGGGGCAAAGAAACGCCGATCCAAAGAAGAAGCAGCACCAACAACGTTGTAAACGGAACGGCGGCACTTGATTCAGATGCCCACAGAAACCAGTTGCAGATAAAGAATACGCCAAATATAATCCTGAAATTACAAACAGTTAAAGCGCGAAGAACGGTTGCGTCAGCATCGTTGTGAGCGCTACCCCGGACCGAGAAAACTGGTCGTAAAAACATTGGTTTTCCATTCGACGCCACCAAGCGCTGAAAACAGAATGATGCAAATGAATCACATAAATCACATAGTGAAGCAATGGTCTCGCAGTTACTTTTGTAGATCCTGGCAGATACATAACCGGCGACGAAGCCAAGAAACACGTACAGCAGCACAGCGCAGGTTATAAGCGCCCCGCGGTTTGCCGGAGACAGGAATCCCAAACATGCGAAAACTAAAAAGAGTCACAATAGAAAACGAACGCCTTATTCAGTAATGTGCTTCCAAATGTAAACTAACACAATCTTAGAGGTATAGTACTATAAGAACTACGTTCAGATCGTATATTATGTGCAAGTTCTGTGTATACACGGCTCACCGAGAATCAGCTGAAGCAGTGACGCTTGGCAATCTGATTTCTCCAAGTCCGATAACATTGTTTCCACTAAGGTCAAATGGTACATCCAACAAGTCCAAAGCGCGGTCTGCGAACATAGCATAGTATAAATGGCTAACAGCTGATATACCAGATTCTGAAGTTGTGGCGCATGATGTTCGAACTTTGTTCTACAGACGTTTACAGACACGTGTTAAATGCTACATTTGATTAGCATGATTCAAGCGACTACAAAAATTTTGTGACCATGTTTTCAGAAATCGACATAATATTCAATTAGTGATGCTCACAACGAACAAAAATCACAGAGATCGACCAAAACCCGTGCAAAATGCGTGGCGCAGCTGCCGATGCGCCACGGTCAGTAACATTTGTTGATCATCGAAATCCTTCCGTCTTGCACACCGTCAACGTAAAATGTACTGCCTGTTGTAACCGATGCGAAGAATATGACCCGACATCCATCGGCGAAGACGACTGTTCGGGCACCGACTGCTACAGTCAGTAGCACTTGTCGCGGAGTTCGCCTTTCCGCTTTTCCACCGTTAAAGAGAAATACAGCTCGATGACAGCATTGTGCTACTGACCGAAAAGACGATCCGACGACAAACAGACCCACGAAGCTGTGCAGCAACTAGATTATAAAATGTTGGAACGGGCACACCGGACGGAACGGGACAGCTCTGAGATTGTCGCTCGCAGATCGATGCCTCTAGTACGTTAGCTGTTTATGTGGGTGTTGGTGTTTGTGTCAAATATACTCTGTGTACGACCGACTGATTTGCATTGATCCTATGAGAGTCCTTGACGGACAACTGCTGCTTACGAGGTGACTGAGGACTTGAGCGAGACCATCTGGTCAAGTCGTGCACATATGAGCATACATAAGAATGTAGACATTTTATTAGTTCTGCTAATGAATAAAACATTTTACATTTACACGTGACAGTCCTCCATCACAAATTACATGTAGTACATACCGCATGCATTTAAAACGTGACCTGAAAACATAATTATCCTCCAAAGCAAACTTAAATTAAGATCAGTAACGAACTAAAGGCTCTGAACTGTCTCAACACTCTTAATCTAGGAAACATCACAGTACCGTCGCTTAGAAGTCAAGTAAAAGACTGAAAATCATACCAAGGGTGACAAATACCATCAGTATGGTCTGTGATCCACTTCCGAGAAAAACTGAGAGCAGCAGAGTATGACGAGGAGGCCGGAAAACGTCACCATGGACGAGTTTCCAACCGAATTCTTCCTGAACGTCCTCCTAAACATATAAAAGTTACGATGGTCGAACAACAACTATAATATTCTTAAATTAAAGGGAAACGTGTAGTCGAAAAGACGAGGTAACAGGATAAGATGAAAAGAAAACTCTGACGGTAAAGACGGAAAGCTTAAGACATGGGGCGCAACAACGTAACACGATGCTGGTACTACTTTTACCGAATTATCAAACCGATTGTAACGCGAAATATCCCGATACAAGGTCCGGAGGAAAATCACTGCCACCATGCCGCTGAGAAACAAAACAATGACCACGGAATTGACGATCCTAAAAAAAAAATTAGAGTATTCGCATGTGTCGAACATTTTTAACGAAAGAGTCAAAATTATTAGAAAAAACTTAGCGCAATTCAAATTTTTACGTATATAAGTAGATATTTACCCAAACCACTGAATACTAGTTCCGTATTTAGCGTTTAAGATGTAGTCCCATCGGGAGGCCCATTTTATATCGGTTTTCTAAAAAGAAAGATGAATAAACAAGTAGCGACTGCCTACAACAGCAACGAACCACAAACTGCACAGAATATGTGTAGGTGATCTCAAATTCCGATCCTGGAGATAAAAGATTGAGTCGAGGAATGGCAGTGCTACAGACAGGTGTCTTCCCGGGAGGATGTCTCATGCTAAATCAAACAGAACATAAAATAAACATTTGAAGCAATTTAATGCAAAGGTAAACAATATATGACCTAAGAATTTCTGTGAAAACCGTGAAAAACCAATTCACAGATGTTTAAAAGTAGTGCTGTCATCGTCATCCAAGGTCTGGTTCACCGTCTGCTCTTTACTGTGTTCACGTGGGATTTTGAAGAGAGACTACCGACAACAGCCTGAATAGCTCTATCGACATTCTGATTACGAATATACTGCCACAACTGATATCGATCGACCTAGAGTAGCTCGAAGGCAATCGATCTCTGATAGCGACTTCTCAAAACGACTTAAGTCGTTGTCAGAGTAACAATCCCTCGAAGAAATCTCAGTACTGTCATTTCTATCTGGGATCGCACTATTCTAATCAATATTCATCACTCATAGTCAGTTGAAAGGAAATAGAAAAACTTAAAGGTAAAAGCCTGTATTGCTCCTCAATTCTTTAATCATCATCACAGACTAATTCAGATCTCGCACTACAGCGTTTGCTAGGATGATTCGTGGGTTTATTTGTAGGTGCTGCCCTCGCTGCCTATCATCAATAATGAATACTGCGCCAAAAGACTCAATATGTTCCACCTGCTAGAGCTAAACTCCACTCAAACGTAGTGTGCAATGAGTCTCCTTCGAAATGATCAGCTGAAGTCATCACGAAAGGAAGCTAACATGGCGCAATCATTTGTGAACCGAAGGTAAATTAGTCGAACGTTTCCAACTATGAGGTTCTTTGTGCTCAGACAGAGTCTACTGCTCCAATCAATAAAAATCATGATCAGAAGAGGAGAGAGTACATAACCCAGGAGGAAACAAGCAAGCACCTTGTAATGTGTTGACCTTTTCACCAATCTGGAAACGCACCTTTGAGTAATCACTTTAGGATCTGATGGCCCTAAGTAGCTTATGATTCTTTCTTTAGTCGTACAGTGTTCTCCGTGGATTTGATCAGGACACTGTTGTGCATTTTTCCTGAGTTATCTATCACACAAGCAGCAAGCATAAACCGCCCTCGCGTATATCATGAATTTTTTGCAAGTGTAGCAGTGAGTAAAAATGCAAAGCACCGCGCTGCGACAAAGACGAAAGCTAAAATGCTAGCACGGACAATCTGGTCATGTTTCGGCAACTCTTTCCCAGGTTCTTGCGTAAATTTGACTAGCACACTAAATAGGGAAGCTCGCTGTTTGCTGCAGTCATTCGACTAACTTTCGTAATGCAGGGACAGCCATCTCGGAAGACTATTGCTTTGGTTTGCTTTTTTAAAAATCCACGCAAAGTGGCAATAAGTCATCGAAAGAATATGATCACGAATCAGTACCTAGCTGACGTCTTACTGATGTGAAACAGCCCCTCAGGTTAATACCACGATCTTTTGTTGTTGCAGCAAAGGAACGACTCGGCTAGGAAGGAGATATCTCTGCGAGGTGTTTCAAAGAGACACTGCCATATGATGCATCTCAGGTCAGTAAACGGTTTCTATGATAGGAAAGTTTAAACCCAGTTTCTTGGTTTCCACACCATTTTTTAAACCAAACAAGGAACAGGTCAATGAGTTCTTTTGACAGATAAGAAAAAGAGTTTATCTTCTTTGCTGCTAATGTGACCTGGTGGTACCATCACAGTTACAGAATACTTCTTAAACACTGTTGTAAAAAGCTATCGAAGAATTTTCATTAAGTTTCAAGACAGATGTCCATAGCCTGCCCATGTACTTGGTGAATACGACGTTTTCATGATGTCAGTCAAAAACGTACTTATAGATGCCCGATGAATGGGATATGGATTCTGTTCAGTCGTGCGTTTGTTTGCTGGTATATGGCATTCAAATCTGTTTGCTAGAGCAGAGAAAATGGGGCCGCCAATGCTATCGCCTTTACCTCGATCAACGTATTAAGTAAAGCACTACACGTTACTGACATCTGTCCCTATTTGAAAAAGAGTATTTCTGAGACTTTGGTAACTTCCACCAGGGCCAGAACCCATACTAACTACCTTACTGAGTTGAGGAGCTGGCTTGGGCGCTGCAGATGGCTGGAACTGTTCTCCCATAGCAAAAACAGTAAAAGTGAAAAATGAATGACGGAAAAATGAGGGTTTATTTATACATACCCCCATCGAATAAGCTGGTTAACCGGGAGACTAACCAGTATCAACAATTCATCTCGTCTCTCACAGTTTTTTTCAGGGTACCAGTTCGGACCGCTCTATTCGGTTACGTATAATCAAATCGCTTTAACGCATT